ACAAGGCTGTTTAAATAATGCCGTTAATAGTATTTCATCCACACTTTATCGTTATACGCAATCGAGTGAGATACGCAGTGGTTTAAGTCCAAGTCATCATCGTATCAAGGATTTACGTAATATGGATGCTTTAATTGCTCGTAGTCCAAGCGCGGAGTTTCAATTTCGAGTGCCAAAGGATCCATTTTTATCACCTTATTGGGCTAGTGATGAATGGCTGTCAAAAATGCCACAAACTAAGATTTTGGTTAGTAAATGAATCAATATAAATATTTAAAATAATTGTATTAAATGTTGATTTTATTTTAAAATTTTTATTACAGACTTTGGACATGGATCCATGTTTAGATGATTGTGTGATGTTTGCGCGAAAACTGAAAAATTTAAATCGTCCAGTTACTTTAGAAATTCTTAAAGGCTTGCCGCATGGATTCCTCAATTTTACAATGGTACTTAAATTATGATTTTTTTATTGTTTAATTTTACCTTTAAAAAAGTTTCGAATAGATGCAATGACATATATTTATTCATTGGGTTTTTTGAAATTAAAAATGTGTAGTAAAGCACACTAAGTAATATAAGACAAGTTAATAGATTGGTTATATTAAGAAAATTTTTATTTAATAACAAAAAATGAACCTTTATCGTTGCTATATAGGCGATTCTTTCAGATTTTTAAGAAAACTGAAATTAAAATCAAAAACTGATATGTTTCAAATTAAAAATATTTAACCTGGAACCCACCAATTCAAATATGTCCTGTTTTGTTCCCTTGTTAAGATTTTGAAGTGATGAAAAATTCTCTATTCCAGCGCTTTTGTATGATATAAGTTTTGTCCAATATAGACCAGGTGATACGTGATCTAACATGAAATCTTATATATCCAGGATTTTCAGTTTACATGACAGTTTAGTCATTACGAGAGGAATACCGATATCAATGTAGAAATATGTCTACTTTAGCAAGTTCATCTGCTTTACATTTGCCCGAGATGTCTAATTCGACAGAACTTATAGATAGAAATCCGAACTACAAGAGAAGTACCTGTAATGCCTAGTAATGATTTAATTGCAGTTAGGCTGTCCGAGAAAATTACGATATTCGTGTCAGCAGACATATAAGTCAAGCATAATGAATTCTTATAACCTCTGCCAGAAAAACACTATAATGGTTAGGCAGATCCAATTTATTAAAAAACATACCAATCCTTATTCTATTGCTTAGTTTGGAACCCGTTTTTCAGTTGTGTTAGCAGAGACTATTAACTCTTGATGCCAGTAATTTCTACTTGGTATAAGACAGCCGCACTCCTAAACGAACCACCCTTCGACATTGAGTACTCTGATTTTGAGTAATATTCCAACAAATTTTTCTATATTTAACCGTCTATCTCAAAATTCTCAAAAAAATGCATTTTATGATTCATGGCATGGGTTATTAAAGGCGCTCTCGATATTAACAAAATAGGTGTATATTCCTTCAAAGTAAAGATCTTCCACAATTTTGAGTTTAATACATGAAGTGCTGTCTACACAGACTTGGTTTACATTTAGGCATTCTTTGATGTTGAGAGAAGTGTTGGATTAATGGTATGCCTCATATGTAGATCAATAACCACAAAAGTTGCAGAACTTTTAAGAGAAAAGAGACTAGGTTGTTTGGTCTGTAATCGGCAGATACCATGAAAGGAATTACAAGACGAATACATTTGTTAGGATGTGAATGGGTAATGGTTGAGTGAGAGTGGAGGAGTTGTATTTAAATTTAATTCAACTACGGTCGTGGATTTCGAATAGAGTACTTTGTGGGTTAATATTACGCTTGCGATTCTCCAACAATTGGAGATATATAACAATTTAAGGCAAGCTCAACAGCAAGGGTAAAATAAAGCGATCGCCCTGTTGTATAAGAAAATATATTAACTGTACGGTCAGTCAAAATTTTAAATGAAAATAAAAATTTTGTTGTACTTCACTACTGTTCAGGAACATTTTAATTTAAAAAAAATAAAAGGCAAAAACCTTATATTGAGCTGATTTCTTTCTTCAATATTAATAGAGTTTTTAGTTAATAAACTATTGAAATCTGTTATATAAAGAAATAAAAACTGATTAATCATTTTAATCATTTTAATCATTTTATAATATTATATTATAGTTCTCCAATGAAGCGATGGAAGGCTCTAAACATTGTATCAATTGCTTGAAAGAACTGCTTAAACTACCTGATTGAAGAATATCAACCAGTACAACAACAAAATTATAAATTGACAAGTTTAATATATTCGAATAAATAAAACGTTTATATACACACATAGTATTTACACTGATTTATAAGAATAAGAAAAAAATTAAAGTATATACACATAATGTATTTCATATTGGTTGGTTAATTAATTCAAGGAATTATTTGACCATTGCAAAAATAATATTTATGTAATTGTATATATAAAATATACAACTTATTTTACTGGCACAAATATTTACTACAATTGTATCTATATTTTTAAAAGCCTTATTTATCGTTAATATATCCTAACTATAAGATACTCATATTACATCCTTATTTATTTATATTTAGGTATAATTAAAAATAATTTTAATTTATTTATTTTATATAATTAATTTAAGTTAACTCTGCACAATTTTAACAGAATTTACTGCTTAGGATTGTAATTTATTTGTATTAAAAATATAATCGTATTAAAAGTGTAATTACGAATACACCTACTGCGAATGCATATATAACATATGGTATTATCATTATTAAAACGCGACAATTATTATTTAAGGATTCACATAACAATAAAGTCAACGTAATTATATTCGTTAATATTTTTAACACTCGAATGAATAATGTTAAAAAATTAAATTTATTATACAAAAACTTCTTAAATCAAAATGTTTTTAAATCATTCGGTAAAAGAAAAAATGAGTATTTACACAGTCTATTAGATTACTTAAGTTAAATACATAAAGCGAAGCTTTAACCAATAAATTTACATACTATTTATATTATTACAACAACGATTTTGTAACAATTTTAATATATTACAAATCAAGGCAGCTATACTAAAAGTTGGTTTATTATTGAAAAACTAATAATGATTTTATAAGTTTTAAGACTTTATACGTGCTGTAATCTCATCTATTTAATTGAATATTCATTTATAAATACGATATATTAAATCAAAAATTATTTCATAGAAATAAATTAATATATAACAAATGTATTTTTATATAAACTACCGCTAGTTGGTCAATTTGTTTAAATGCTTTTTTTATTTTTTTTTGTTTTTTTTTTCTTATATATTAAAAATATATAGCAATTTATATTAAAATAAAATATTGTATTCTAAAAATTATTGACAATTTTTTATGATCTAAAATTGTTTAGCAATTAAAATTAAAATTTTCTTTGTTATTATTAATAATTTACTTGACAATTATTTAACAATTTATTTTAAAACATTTCCAATTCTATGAAAAATGTTGACAATTCATATTTAAATTTACTTATATTCTAAAAATAATTAATAATTTGTATTAAAGTTTTCTTCATATTTTAACAATAATTAGCAAATAATATTAAATTTTTTATTATATTCAAAAAATTATCTATATTAAAATTTTCTCTATATTTGAAAAACTTTTAGTATTTTAAATTAAAAAATCATATATATCTTTTTATTCTAAAAATTATTTCAAATTTATATTTTTTTTTTTGTGATCTGTTAGCTGTTATAAAACTGTTAGCAATCAATATTAAGATTTTTTTTTATATTTTATGAGTATTAAGAATTTATTTCAAAACTTTTCTTATATTCTAAAAATTAATATCAATTGTATTAACATTTTCCTTAAAATTTTTCAAAAATTATTGTACATTTATATTAATAACAATTTGAATTTCAATACATTCTAACAATTATTAACCATTTAATTAAAATCTTACTTACATTTGAAGATTTTTTTATTTATTTCATATTTAATTATTATTTTAATATTATTTTATTGATATTTATTTTATTGGTGTTTATTTTATTGGTATTTATTTTATTAGTATTTATTTTATTATTATTTATTTTATTATTATTTATTTGACTATTATTTATTTTATTATTTAATTATTTTTTAAATATTTAATATTATCATTACATACATATTTTTTATTTAAAATTTTTTTATTTATTTCATATTTAATTATTATAATATTATTTTATTATTATTTTATTAATTTATTATTATTTAATTATTTTTTAGTTATTTAATATTATCATTACATACACATCACAATTCCATATATATCGTACACTATTATTTTATACTGTATACTATTATATGCTCTGCATACTATCGATATTATTTATTTATTATTTGAGCTTGGATTTTTAAATAAACTAATTAAGAAATTAATACTGATTATTGTGTTATGAATTTATATTTTCCTATCAAATATTGTGTGTACAAATAATTATTCATATCTGTGGTTTTAAGCAAACATCGCTTTTTGTGTTATTAATTATTTATTATATTCCTTAATTTTCTAAGTATTTAAATAGAATATTTATTTATTACACAATGTTTTTTATTTAAAATTTTTAAATATATACATACATTTTATATTTTATTTATAAAAAAAATTGTTTGTTTTAAATTATTTATTTAAATTGTAAACTCCATAATTTTATTATATTTATTTATTTATTCTAAGCAAAACAATTTGTATAACGTTTTGGTGTTTTTACTGAATAAAATAATATTATAGTTAAAACAAGTGTTTCATTAATTATTGTAAATTATTTAACAATTTTTTAGTTATAAATAATTAAAATTTAAAAGTATAAGCTCCTGAAATATCAAATTAAATAAAATAATTGACAAAATTCCATACACTTCACATATGTAGACAGTCGTATGTTGATGTTTTTCCGAGTTAGTGCAACTGGGTACTTTTATTCTTTCTTAGCTGGAGGGTTTCCACAGAGTCCCTCCCTTCTCTTGACTAATTTATGAATTCCTTACAAGCTTCGCTGATTATTCAATGACTGATCTAAGATCTGCATACCGCCCCGTATACCTAGTGACTGTTCTGAGAGTTCTGCTCTCTGTTCCTTATGTATTTTTGGACCGAGTCTATTTTGAGGTCTCTTAGCATGTCATGTAAGATGTCATGTATCATGGCACTTTGAAGAGTTTTCAGAGAGCTTGACTTTGAGCAACTTTTAGCTTCTGGATACAATTATATTATTGCTAAATGATCCATATTTTAAAAAGGCAAAACTTAAACTTAACATATAATGTCGGGAATAACAGTTCATTAGGACATCACGTTTTGTTATCAAAAATCGTGAACGATTCATATTTCAAAATAGCAACTCTTAAACTTAACTTATAATGTCTGGAATAACAGTTGGTTTCGACATACCATATGGCACTGAAACGGTGCTGCTATACCTAAAATGGATGCCACTTATATATGTCCGCGGATACCGTGAATGGAATCACCTTTTCATTGATATATGTTATTGTTATTATAGAATTTTGAGTTAAGGATTGTATATTAGTAAGTACTAAAATATATTGCATAAGATTTTATTTCATGCTTGCTAGAACCAAATTAGTGCGGATGCGTAGATCAAGAAATTGTTAAATTTATTGAACAAAGTAGGAATTACTACTTTGTAGGAAGACTAAATCTCCATTTTAACCGCATCTGCCGCAATTGTAGTGAGGGCGTTGAAAGTGCCTTCCGCCTGCTTTGCTTCTGTCAGGCGTTAGGTGCTTTCTTTTTTGAGGATCGTTGCAAACTTTAGAATCTTTCTTTGAATACCATCATAAGTTTGCCAAAGGTTCTAGATGGTTTCAACTCTTGGGTTTTTAATAATACGATAGCACAATGGGCCTATAGGCCTAAGTGGATTCCCATGGAATCGCCGGTATAATTTAACGTAACCTAAGTAGGAATTCAGTACTGTGCCCAGCCCTGTGCCCACATCCCACTTGAACTCAAATAATGGTCACGGATTATATAGTGAGCAGTTCATCTATTAATTTCAGTTTCAATACAAGTTGTCGATATGAATATTTCAGTTCTGGATTGTTAAGTAAAACAAAGTCGGCATAAGGAAATCTATAACCTAACCTAACGTACAGTTTCATAAGTATCGATAGGTGTATTTCAGTTCTGGATTGTTAAGTAAAACAAAGTCGGTAATCTGTTCAAATATTTTAGATTTGATGTATTAAATTCTTATGAAAATCAAATAGAAAAGTTTTATTATTATTTATAAAGATTTTATATGGGAATTTTTGCTTAAAGTGCTGTATCTCCACTTCATGTTGTAAATTCCTCCTGGTGAAATGTTGGCAGACGGAAACACCTGCTTAAGTTGTTTGTGTGCGAATATGGAAGCGTGTAGTTTTTGTTTTGATGCTCCTTTGACCATCGCTTTCAGTAACCAACAGTAATACATAAAAAATATAATGTAAACAATACGGAAGTGAGGTCTTGTAAGCTGGAACATAAAAACACTAACATAACAACAGCCAACGTCAAGCAACACAGAAGAAAGCAACACTGAAGAAAGCAAGGAACACTAAAAAGAAAAAGAAAGTAGAGAAATGTTAACAACAATTTTGACCACTTCAGCATTTGCTGATGGCATCAAAAAGTGCTTTTGTGCATTTTTACATGAAAGCAGCCAAAAGAAAAATGTTTTTAAAAGACATGAAAAACGGTGGTGAACAACACAAAATGGTTAAAAAATATGCAAATGTCTTTGTTTCCGTTTCCTTTATAGGAGAAATGCATTTGGAATGTTTTCATTCTTGCTTTTGGTGTGCAATGCATACGCTTTTTGGTAGCAAATTAACTGAAACTTTAATAAGCAAGAAAAATAAATGCATTCCATTAAATTGTGGTAAGACAGGATTTTGTTCAAGAAGGAATGAGAAGATGAGAAGATTATTCCTTAAGTGGGATTAAGTGATAAAATTCACAAAAAAAAAAAAAAAATTGAAAAGTAAAAAATTATAATGAATTTCTTAAAATGTATTTCTGCATGTGTCGTCGGAAAAAAAAATCTCATTACTGCACTTTTGTAAAAATACTAAATTATTTAACATAAAGAAGTGCTGTAATTTACATTTTTAATATGTAAAACTGTTAAGTAGCAAAATTTTTTGTTGATAAAATAAGTGTGGATGCGATGGTCTTGTCATGGAAATGCAGTTACCACTGGAATGTGGTAAAAACACATCTCATTGCAGCCTTTGTCATCTGCGTATTAAAGTTGATGATTAAATGACAC